GAGGTGATCATGGTAAACCCACGATCATGCTTGAAGAAGTTGCATCACAAGACCTATGGATTTGGTATGCATTTTTTGGTATTGCAGGTTCAAACAATGACATTAATGTGCTAAACCAATTCAATGTGTTTAACGATATTTTAGAAGGACGTGCTGCTACTGTGCAATATACAATCAATGGGACTCCATATAATATGGTGTATTATTTAGCGAATGGTATATATCCGGAGTGAGCTGCATTTGTGAAGACCATTTCAATACCGCAAGGAGAAAAGAGAAAACTCTTTGCACAACACAAAGAATCAACTAGAAAGGATGTGGAACAGGCATTTGGAGTGCTTCAATCTCGATTTGTAATAATATATGGTCCAGCGCGTGCTTGGCACATGGAAACCCTAAAGCATACCATATATGTTTGTATCATATTGCACAACATGATTGTCGAAGACGAACGACATACATATGGAGGTAATTTTGATTACTCTTATGATAATGTAGATGACAAATACTCAACCGCTGAAATATTTAACGGTCTTCATCTGAATCTCGCAACAAGACTACAAAGAAGAGCAAGTCTTCGTGAAAAACAAGTTCATCGCTAACTTCAAAGAGATCTAATCGAACATATTTGAGAACGTTTTGAACATGAGAATGATGAAAATAAAATTTGAGTAATTCTGTTATGTTATTTATTTTTATTGTTTTTAATTATATGTTATGTATTTGAGATTAATTTTAGTTATCATTTTAAATTTTATGTTTAATTTCAATTTTATTTATTTTATATTCATTTTAATTTAAATAATTTAAATTATTATTTTAAATAAAATAAGATTTAAATAAAAATATTAATATATAAAGTAAAGATGTAGGATTTAATGAGTTATTTAGAGTTGTATTATTGGAGTGAAAATTGAGTGAATTGAAAAACCCAAAAATAGATTGCACCATTAGAGATACATTTAATTTTTTTTATATGAGATAATTTCTAACTTAAAAATAGAGCAGCTTAAATAAGAAGAAAAAGAATACATTCAAGCCAAAGTTATGATATGCAGCCAAACGCGCCCTAAGCTATGTACTAGGTTGGGTTTTAGGCGGTGCTTTGTTTCCCCCGTTTTCTGCACACTCCAAATCAACGTCTCTGTGGAAAGGTTCCATCGCCGGCGTCGTTTTCGTCGAACTCTTCGTTCCCTCAGTACTTCTCTCACAATCCTTCTACTTGTTACTTGCGATTTCTTAGAGATGCTTTTGTGAAATGTTTATTTTCTATGCTACTTTTTTTTTTTAATGTATTTGTTGTATTGGATATGCAAATTCAAATCAGTTCTTAATTATTATTTTGATAAACCAGTTCTTAATTTGTTGACAGTAATAATTAATTATTAATGATTAATGAGTGATGCCTTTGTTGTGTTTGGTTAATTGACTGAACCAAATGAAGCTCCTAAACAGGACCCTTAATTTGTTGAATAATGAACAATTTTGATTAGTAAAGATTGATTTAAATGCTTATATAATAAAGTGTAATTAAGGATTTATGTAGTAGTTGGATTTTCAAACCAGGCTGGAGATATAGTTTGAACCTGCTTTGTATTTCCTCGCCGTTTTAAAATCTCAATATCTTATACACAAATGAAGGGGATGTTGGATGTATGAACTGAATACATTTTTCTTTCTGTTTGTTTCTGTATGCAGGTTTCCTTGTTCGACTACGTTTCTGGCAGTTAGACCGCTAATTCATTGAATTGCCCTGGTGACTTGGCTGACCTTCGTATGTGCACCTATGAGAAAATCTACTGAAAACCTTAATTCGAGGCTGTGAGCATTTTGATTGGTGAAGGAAGCTACCTAGAAAGCAATATGGAGACTAAGCACTGCAGTTTCTGGCTTCCCAACAAAAACAGATTTTGTGCAAACACTCTTCTCAATGGTTCCTTGTAAGTTCTAGTTTTTTTCTTTCTTTATATCTATTATTTGATTCGTTCATTTCACTCACATTCTCTCATTTCTATGGACCCCAGATTCTGTGGTAATCATAACTCAAGGCCCGAAGGCCAGTGGATTCAATGCCCGGTAGATCCTTCGCAGTAATTATTCTCTCCCTCTGTCACCTGTAACTGTCATTATCAACTCATATCCATTATTTTAATCTTTTTGCTCATTCTGATTTGGTTAATGTCCTTTCATCATTTGACAGTTCAGTGCTTGAGCAAAATCTCAATTGGCATGTTAAGCGGTGCCCGTTGCTGAAACAGGTCCAATCCCTGTCTGACCAACCTTTCTATCAAAAAGGTATCAATTCTGGTTCTGATGGAGAGCCACAAGAGGAGGAAACTTCAGGGATTAATGATTCAAGATTGCCTGCTGTGACCGTTTCTTCTGAAATGAAGAGGAATGCAGTTCGAAGGATGAGTGTGCCCGAATTCTGCAATTTGATTGAGAAGGTTGAATCTATTCATGATTCATTGTGTAAAGATATTCAGGACTCATTTCTGATGCCAGATGTTTGCAGTCTTTGGATTAAAAGCAAAGAAGAAGAAAGGTAGCTTTTGCCTTGAATTTAACCCTTTGATTGACAGGTTTGGTTTCTATTTCCAACTTGAGTATTTTGCAGGAAATTGCCGTTTCAGGAGAAACATATAATGCAGCAGGCATCTATTGTGGGGAATTTGGAAAATTTTGGTGTATTAAAGAATTCTCTTAGTAGGAAACAGTCAACATGTGAGGAACCGGTTAAGGGGAAGGATGATGGTGTTTCTACGGTCATTGAGTTTGGAGCTGGTAGAGGGTATTTGACACAAATGCTTGCAGATTGTTATGGAATCACTAGAGTTTTCCTTGTTGAGCGAAAGGCATACAAGTTGAAGGTGGGGGACTTAGATCTGGAACTACTATTTTTACCAAGTTCTAAATCATGATTTTCATATTTGGAACTGTTCCTGAACTATTTGAACTTGCAGTGATCTTTGATTTTTCATTTGTTATTTATTTACGTCATGCAAATGCTATTTCTAGGCTGATCGATCCTTGCGACAGAATGAGAGCTTGACGTTAGAGCGTTTGAGAATTGACAGTAAGGGTCTTCAGTATTCTTTTTTAATAAGATATTTTCTTCTTTTTTTTATAAAGTTTATAAGATATTTTCTGAGTCCGATAAAATTCAAAAATCCAACTTTGCAGTTGAAGATTTAAATTTGAATGCTGTTGTGCCTTTACAAGGGGTTCCATTTCTGGCCACCGGTAAACATCTATGCGGACCTGCAACAGGTAATTTTGGAAATTTATGCATTCTGATGAAATTCAGCGTTTGTTTTATTGACGAAAACATAAATGACGATGCAATTTTTTGAATTGAAAAACGGTTATCCAACATCCTCAGATTTGACTTTGAGATGCTGCTTTCCCGAATATAGAAAAGATAGTAGTGAACAGCACACTGCTAATATTAGTTTTGGAGGTTTAGCTATAGCAACATGTTGTCACCATCTTTGCCAATGGAAACACTACACAAGTAATCACCTTCTTCTTTGCTTGTGAATACTATAGTTTGCATATATTTATAAACCTCTCTTTAAATAACTTCTGGTTACTAGCTTACTGTTATCGTGACCTTGCAGATAAAAAGTTTTTCTTAGATTTGGGAATGGCAAAGGAAGAATTTCATGCCATTACATGGTTTACCAGCTGGGCTGTAGATGCTACTCATGATTCAGATCTTCCTGATACTACGAATTGTATATCGCATTTACAATCAATGTAATCCTTCCGTTCTTCAATCATTAATTTTGCCCTCAGAATTTTTGCTAACGCTTCATTAGTATTTCAACCCTTGTTAATTAAAGGATCTGACTCGTCTATAATGTACAATTTACTTTAGAGTGTAAAGTATGTAATATCAACTATTGATGAATAAATCAATGGTTGATGTTACATGTAAATCATTAGAGTCAAATTAGTTGTTGAAACCGATATATTAACAGTTGTGTTTTTGTCGTAGAAAGGAGCAAGGTAATGGATATACAGATGGAGTTGAAAAAATTCTTTCAGAAATGGAAGCAGGAAAAAGAGCAGCACTGGGATTTAAGTGCAAGTGGATCATTGACATAGGGAGGTTGATGTGGTTAAGAAAACTTGGATTAGAAGCAAAGCTTGTCCGATATGTTCAGCCAAGCATTTCTCCTGAAAATCATTTACTATTAGCTAAACCTTTGAATTGATTATCTATATCCTTCTCTTTATTTTGTAGCCTTTGTAGACATTGAGCCAAAATTTATTATCAGTTTGATAATGTAGTTTTACTGAACTAAAACGAGGATCACATTACGTTGGGGGATTAGGAATGCATTGTTCCAAAGATACTTTAAGTTACCATATGTGTGCATCATTACCCTTTTTAAAAATTATGTTTCAAAAATGAATACGTGGAATTAATGTGAATGAGGTGTCAATAACAATTTAAAAGTAATTTAAAATAAATTAGTAACAAGAGAAGAAGGAGAAATGGAGAACACATAAATCTCTAAATCCCTAAACGCATAAATGGACGAACGCATAAAGAAGGAGAGGAACTCAGGGACAAATGAAGAAGGGATTGTCGAGGAACACAAGGACGAATGAAGGTGGAGAGCAACGCAAGGACGAACAAAAAAGGGAGAAGAAGGTTTTGAAGGATTCACATCGCTAGTATGTTTGATTGAACGACGGAGAAAAACAAACAAGTGAAGGTAAAGAACAAAGGAAAAGAAGATTTGCACGATTAAGGTATGTTTCGTTTTCCCTAATTTGTGGTTCTCATTTTAGGATTTGTAGGTGAGTGTTCAGTTTGTCTGTAATGATAGTGATAGGGTAGTGTAGCATAGTGTGATGTTGCTTGTTTTATGTATATGGTTTTATTTGTGGCCACTTATTTCTTTATTCTCCAAGAGCGCGTCAACTCTCTGTCTATATTCTGTTTATTTAGAGTAATGAGATTGTTGTTGATATAAACATGACAAAAAATGGATATTTTTTATGTTGACTTTCATTACGGGGGACATTTTGTTGATGATAAGGGTACATATGTAGAAAGAGAAGCGTCAAATTGGGAGTGTGATGAAGATATATGAAGTTATTTTTAAATTTTGGGCGTTGTTAAAGAAATTGGGTATCCAGGGGTACTCGAAATATGGTATGATTTTGCTGGCAAATTAAAGTCGCTAGAAAATGACTTTGGTGCAATAGAAATGCTAAATTGGTCCAAGATTACTATAAAGGTAAACCTATACATAGTCCACCCTATTTCACAACCTGAAGTAACAAGTAGTTAACCATAAAATGCCCAAACTAAAATCCATACTGACCCACAACCCGAGGTCTACCATGAGGTACCTGAACAAAATGCCCAAACTGTCCAAGATGCCCAAAATGTAACAGAAGCCCAAACTGACCATAATGAACAAAATGACCTAAATTACCAAAGTGATGACAATGCATTATAGGGTGCAAGTTTAATGACTCAGATGATGAGGTATTAAATGATGGAATTGACGAGGTGTTAGTTGGAGTAGAAGGGTTGTTATTGGCCAAAATGATCAACTCGGGGCAGGAAAGATCAGTCAACAGATGACTATCATCAACAATTTTCGAAAGGTCGAAGATTAATACCTGAAACAAGCCAGGACAATTATCTACACGACCAGCTGGAGCAATCCTACACGGGCTCCTTCTCATACACTCTTCTAGAAACAATTCAGATACACCCCAGATACGGACGCCATTCTGATACTCGTTCAGATTTAGCTTTCAGATACAGTTCAAATACGCTCTAGATACGGACGCCATTCTGATACTCATTCAGATTCAACTTTCAGATACAATTCAGATACGCTCTAGATACGAATGCCATTTTGATACTCATTCATATTCAGCTTTCAGATACAATTCAGATACGCTCTAGATACAAACGTCATTCTGATACTCATTCAGATTCAGCTTTCAGATACAATTCAGATACGCTCCAGATACGGACGTCATTCTGATACTCATTCAGATTCAGCTTTCAGATACAGTTCAGATACGCTCCAGATACGGATTCCATTCTGATACTCATTCAGATTCAGCTTTCAGATATAGTTCAGATACGCTCCAGATACAGACGCCATTCTGATACTCATTCAGATTCAGCTTTCAGATACAATTCAGATACGCTCCAGATACGGATGCCATTCTGATACTCATTCAGTTTCAGCTTTCAGATACAATCCAGATACGATCCAGATATGGATGTCATTCAGACACTCATCCAGTACATTTCAGATACGATTCAGATACAATCCATTTATGGATATTATTCTGATACTCAACCTAACACGTCCACTATTTCAGTATAAATCAACCAGAGATTTATTCTGACACTTCTTCCATTTCTACCAACAATCACTTTTGGATGGCATCTGTAAGCCCATCTCCAACAATTTTCCATCATCTCTCCAAATGGCATCTTTAAGCCCATTCCTACACAGTCAACCACCACATCATCGAGTGCAAATTTCTGGGCACTCTAGTGTTCAATCATCTTCCACCTTCAAGTCACGAATGACAGACTCGTCAATCTAACTCTTTAGGTTTAAGAAGATTGAACACGGGAAGCTGTTGTACTCAAAATTTTCCCTCTCATTTATCAAATATTTTCTCACATGATCTCCTTTGGTTCAAGACTGTACAAGGATTGATCAGCTCAAGACACCTCCTTAAGCATTGATGACTAAAATTAGGGTTTGAGATTGCACAAGGATAATTGAACTTTTAATGCCTCATATGACTTTCATGGATCATTATTGACCTCTAAGATTGCTCATGTCAAGTTTCAAGTCTTGGATCACATTTTTGCTCAGTCAATTGAGCAGTTGACCTAAAAATCAGTTGTATTGGGGAAAAAGTCAACTGTGGTTAATTTACAGTCAAACTTCATAATATTTGGTCCATATCAACATTTTGAACTCCTATATGTTATTTGATCAATATTGGACCACAATTCCTCAAGAAATTTGATCAAATCATTAAAAGGGCAAAATGGTCAAAATTAGGGTTTTGACTGGGAAAGGGCAATTTCTGATTTTTGACCTAACAAATGGTTAATTGGTTTGAGACATGATCTCAAGGATTAAAATGCATCATTTTGACCTAATGTTATGACTCAAAACTTTCCTCAAGATCAATTGATTGATAGTTGATTTCCAGTCAATTGATCAAAAGTCAACTAATATAGTGAAAAGTCAAACTTTGACTTTTTAGTCAAAATCAAGTGTCAAAGATCACACTTCATCAAAACATGTCAAAATATGAAACTTGTTCATCAAGAAATAAAAAAGTCAAGATTTCATTTTGAAAAGTCAAAGTTTCCAAACTTAGAAAATTTTCTAAGTGTTGAAAACTTCATATTTTTTCACAACTTTGAGCCAATTTTTCACCATGATGTAAGATGATTCAAAGGAAACTTTCAACATGAAATTTGTACATCTCAATAAGATCTAAAACATTTCTTCACACAACTTCTCCTAGAAATGCATGGATTTCAAGTTATGATTTGTGAATACATGTTCATGAAACTAAACACTTAGTGAAAATTTTGCCCTAATTGGTCAGGATTTTGACTTAACTTCTGAGCCAAGTTTCACATAGTTCCATTTGGATTTTGCAAAATTTATTCAAAGAGGGGTTGTAGAGAACATTACAACCTTTCTAAAAAGTTCAAGAACTTCTTGAGATCATTTGTGAGCAAGGAGAATCGAAGGTCAGAAGTTAGAGTTTCAAGTTGTTTTACAAGGAAAAATTTCATGATGAACAAGAATGCAAATCCATGCAAGGCTGCATAATATTTGCTTTGCAGACCTCAAACTTGTTAGGCACTCCATAATTAAATGTTTGCACAGCTTTTAGAGGCTTCAACTCAAGCATTCAATGCATTGCCCATGCTTATTTCCATTTTAGGAAGAAAGTGCACAATGCCATTTTTGAAAAGTAGCTTTATGCATAAAGTCAGTTCTTGAGCTTTGAATTTGTTCTCTTCTGATCATACACCATCTATAACCCAAAGCAAACTTGTCTAAAACCTCAAAACAAGTCAGCCCATGCTTGTACTTCACCTTGAAACTATATCTCCACTTTTCTTCAAAATCAAGCAACATAGCCATAACTTGTACTTGTGTGATTATGATCCTCTCAAGCCTCACATCCTTTTCCTTACTTATGTACAAGTCCTTTGCATCAAAACACACGCAGGCTTAAGCCCTAAAACACACAAGAACTCAAGGTTATAACAAAAATCTCCATTCTTGCATAATCTGACCAAAAACTTGAAACTCACATCTCCCTCGTGCGTTTTCAAGCCTTTTGGTTCCTAAAGCTTCTAAACATCAAATACAACTCATCCCTGACCCTGCTTCATAACTGTAACTCCATTTTCATCAACCTCCATAACAAAAAACAAAGCCCTGCAAGTTGACTTCTCCAGAACTCCTCAGCCACTTTCAACTCAAGCCAAGCACCACATTAACTTCCCGGGAACTTGAGGAAGCTAACCCAATCACTGGAACTCATCAGAAGCTGCTCAAACTCAAAACACGATACCCTCTTGCAAGGTGAGTTTTCTGACTTTTGAACTCTTCATATAGGTATCATTAATGTTTAATTTGTGAATGAAAAATGTAGATATCATTGCCCTAAAGCTAACCATTTCCATAGATTTCATTTATATTGCTCGAGCTTAGATAATTTTAGGTTTAAATCTCTGAAAATAATTAGGTCAGACTTTGGTACTTTCAAAATTTCTCATTCATCTTTGATTTATAGCTTATGATATTTATATGGTTGGATTCATATGGAAAAATGGAGCAACTTTCATGTTTGTATATTTCATTTTTGTTGAGAAATGGTGAAGTTACAAATGTTCAGGCTGGAGGTTGAAGATGAAGTTATAACATGGACTTAGTTTGTTTTAAGTTTATTGATTGTTGTATAACTCACAGATGAAACAGGCCACCTTAGTGGTACAACAAGCGCGCGCATATTAGGAGGTCCTGGATTCGAGCCCCAGCGAGACCTTTTGCAAATTTCTCATTTTTTTTACACTTTTCCACTTTTTTGTTTGCAGCCAACAGGCGCTGCCCCCCCCTTGGACTTTTTATTTTTTTTGACTCCTAACCATTATTTACTTTCTAACCCCCCTGACTTTAATTTTATATTTTTATATTTATTTATATTTTCTTTATTATTATTATTTTTATTACTATTATTATTATTATTAATAAAAATATAAAAAATACTTTTATTTATTATTTATACTTATACATTTTATTTTTCTTTATAAAGCAAAAAGACTAAAAATATTTTCTTAACAAATTAATTTCTTTTTTTTTAATTAATAAATAATTAGTCTTAATTATTATTATACTATTTTCTTGTAAATTAAAATCAATTTAGAACTTAAGACTTTTATTTAATTAATTTTATTTACTAATTTAATCAAATTCACAAAAAACCCTAAAAAATTTATTCTCTTTAAACTAATTTATTTTACTAACTTAATCTTAATTTTCTTATTTTTAGTTAATTATTTTATTTTAGTTAATTATTTTATTCTAGTTAATTAGGTCAAAAAACCTTTTCATGAAAACCAAACAAAAATCACATTTCTTTTTTGCACTTACATTCTTGCATTTCTATTTATTCATTGTTTGTATAATATTTAATATAGTTGTAATAATTATTTAGATTTTAATTTCTTGCAATTCTCCATTTGTAATTTATATACCCCCTCCCCTAAATGATGTAATAGCTTAGTACTTTTATTTTCCGCAACTTAAATGCTTTATATACAAATGCTAGTAAATTAGGGCTTGTATGGAAAAATTAAAACCAACAAATAACAAACCCTAATCAAGACAAATCAAGCATGAAAAAGACACACTTGCACCCTTAGGGTAAATCCACTTTGTTGTCTTATAAAATGGCCATATTATACATGTGGGGTATCTTAGCAAAAACAAACAAAATACAAGATCATAGTCCCTCGATGATGCTATCAAAGTTACCTTTCAAAAATGATCTTAGTCCCTTAAAGAAAATGCTAAGATATCTTACAATGTTGCTAATCATGGATATACGATGACCCTTGCGCGTCTCTTTTACATCCAAAGATAGGGTTACTTACCAAATCAATGGTAAGATAACAACGTCAAAAGAAAGAGGAAATAAACATGAAAGACTTTTGAGTAGGTAGATTGTTCCTAGTTGCTTGCTCATTTTCAAAATCAAATCATTCTTGCTA